CCATAAATATGTAGGCCCAGTATTAATGAGCACAGTCCTGCTGGCCACTGCACATGTCTGTGTCACAGACACAGTGTTCAGACGGGAAGGTCTGCTCAGTAAAGCTAAGCCTGCACTTTTTGCAGGTTCAGCATCACTGAGCTGTGTGTGTGTTTTCCTTGTGGGGGTGTATGAGAGGGGGGAACCGTCATTTCCGGGAGACGCAGCAATTATTGCTAGTGGCTATAATAGCCGCTGGCAAGAATAGCATGAAAAATCCAACATGCTTGTTGTACGCAAGTCGTATAAAAATCAAATTGCATACAATCAGCTTGCCTATAGATGGGTTGACTCTTGGCTGGTCCCTGCCGAACCAGCTGAGATTCGAACCATCTATGGCTGGCTCAACACTACCCACTCACCATATTGACAGTGCTGTTGTCCAAGGGTGGATCCATTGCTCCTGAGACAAGAAGTGTGTTACTGGCCAGATCACCAAGGTAAAAATAAAGGGAAAAAAAAGTCTAAAGAACACTAATACATCCACCACATTTAGAACTCATAAGCTGAAATATATTACATTTTCATTCTTGGCTTTAATACCCCATTATTATTTTACAAACATGGAAGTGACCTGTAGAGAAATAACATGAGATATTTATGTTCCTGGACATGGAATTTAAAACAATGTCCTATTTTCTCTACACATTATAGGCCATGCTACATTTTAATCACAAAGCAACAATTTTCAAGATGCTATGCCTCTTTTATCATTTTTATGAATTAAATAAATCTGCTGAGTAATCCAGGAAAATTTACTAGCATGTGGGAACAATTCCCATAAAACTACAAATTTCACATGAAATAGCTGTTTGGATAATAGTTTCATAAGAAATGTTAAAGAGTGAATGTACATGAAATAATCTAGCAGGGATCAGTGAAGCACTCATCTCTCCCTTTCTGGTAATCCAAGTGACTAAAATATCCTTTTGCTAGACAGGCACTTCACAGTAAACTAAATACAAGCTGTATAGGAGTTATTATTTATTACCTGCAAGAACACAACAGCAACATATTTTGCTACAGACCTGTATTAGTAGTTAGTCATTTTCAACTGGACTAGCTCTGTAATGTTGAAGATATTTGGTAGCTTATCCAAGCCAATTTATCAGATCTATTGGATTATTAGAACTACAGAAGTGGCTTGGTTAAAGGCTAAGTTCACCTTTCATAACATGTTCCATGTTACACCCATTTTCAAGGTTTAACGTGTAACATGTTACAAATGCAGCATCCCCTGCACCTCCCCAATCCCCCTTTGTGAAGGTGAATGGGGGATCTTCTCCCCCCACTCGCTGTCACAATTTCACTACTTCCCGCCAGCCATGTACATATATGCAGCTTCTTGACAGGTTGGCCTTAGCGCTGAGAGGTTGCATAGATGTGTACCTAAAGATAAACAGAACTGTACTGAGAGCACACACCGTGCATGCTCCTGGCACAGTTACCAGCGGCTAATGGAAAGGTCCCGATCTCTACTTGCGACCAGGAGCATTCCACTCATGTGACCACTGTGACAGCCAATCACAGCAGTAACATGAACGGAAACCCCGCTCCACCACCCGGCATCTAAAACCCCTTAAAGAGCCGGGAAACGCTGGCCCCATGGGGTAAAAAAGAAGTGGCCTTTTGGGGCTCTGCCCACTCGGGTAGCGTCATTCATTCACAGAGTTCTGTGAAAGTGAGAACAACAAATACCAACAGCCTTTGTGGCTGTTGGCTTGTAGTTCTCAATGAACTACCAGGGCACTGTTGAGCTCTCTAGGTAGTTTGTTGATGCTTCCTGTCAGTTTGTAATTGCTTGCCCATATCAGAGGTACAGGCAGACAACTACACAGACAGTCTGCAAGAGCCCTACATGGCGCCTGTGATCTGCTAACCGGAGGTACAATGCTTTACAGGCTCCTAGTAAAAAAAAAAAAGAATAAATGCAAATTTTTTTACCTGCAAATAGATGTGCATTTATTATTTTTTACAAAGGTGAACTTATACTTTAAGCTTCAAAATTCTTTACCATTACAGAATAAATCCAGTTTTATGTAATTAACTACTACTAGCTATACCATGATCTGCATAAATGAGCACATTCGCAGACAAATTTCACAGCATTACCATTTCCATCAGTCCCAGGAGAGGTTGCAAACTAATTTCCTACCACCGATGCAGAGCAACAATTTGTGGACCCATGAGGTTTTATATGCTACTACCATATATTTACCAGTTATGTTCATACATTATATACTGCAGATCATAATGCTTCCCCTTCCTTCACAGCTCCCTTTTTACTCTGTTTTGTGTTGTTTGGGTCTTTAATAAGCTGAGAAAGATTAAAAAGGCAAAATGTATTAAAAACTGTCACCTGAAGCAATGAATGACATAGTCAGAGGTTTTAGTATTAGATATGAGAGGGCCTTATTTTAAATTTTGCTCTAGAGCCCTGTGGCATTTAGTTATGCCTCTGTGGACATCACAGTCACATCCACACAAGCTGCAGCCAATTAACCTACTAGTATATTTTTGGATTATGAGAAGAAACATGACACCTGGGGGAAATTCACTGAAAAAGATTTTTTTTTTAGGTCCAAAGATAACCTTGGGTATGCATAGCTAGAGGCAGCCATGTTAATGTAATGTGATGTCATACATTCCAATTGTAGTCTGATCAGTGACCTATCAGAGCAATAGTTAAAGCTGTGCTACTGTCACAGGCATCACAACCTAAATCTCCGCTTCTCATTACACTGTACCTTATGATATTCAAAGCCGTCGCATCATCTGATAACTTGGCCTCTTTGACTCTTCTCTGCTAAAAGATCATTAGCAGTTTGGGAAATAAGGGCCAGCAGTCTCAGTAGCACAGGTTATGGTTTGTTCGTCTTTAAGAGATTTATGTTCTGGCCTTAGCCAAGGAGACAGCACTGTGGTACATCATCATGCAGGAGACATCAGAGACTTTGTTCTCCGCTCCGATGCATTATCATAAAAAGTGATTTAGAGCTGATTGATGCAAATGGCTCTCTGTTCTTTTCTATCATTAACGGTCTCTCTCAGTGGCCAGAGGCAGTGATTAAAGCTGTCATTTGGAGCTGCTCATTAAAGACAAGCACACGAGTGGCAGGAGGGAAAGAATGAGGATGCTGAATTTTATTTTATTTTTTTTGGTTTTATATTTTTATTAATCGTTTAGGGATTTAAAGGGGCAAAACATATTATCAACCTAAAAATTACAGTATTTTAGTGGTGATTTATAGTAAGTAACGATGCCAACAGTCGTTTTGTATACTAGGGTTATGGAGAAATCTTAGAGGTTTTAAAAACTCAATCAAAGATCAGCGAATAATCAAAAATCTGCTTCATTGGCGATTGCCCAATCAGCTCCCTCAGGTCACTGATCTTTCCGTTTTCTTTCTAGTCCTTTTTTTCCTCCTTTTCTCCTCCCTAAAGAATTATACCAGGTTTGTATTGCAGACATTCAAGTTAAGCTGGGTACACACTGGCCCAAAAATCTTCTGGTTCAGTAGGAACCAGCTGACTTTCAGTCAGCTGTCTGTCAGACAGAAGCCAGTTGACCGGCTTTTGTCGAAGAGACATTGTGGAAAACCAGCATCTGAACAGCGATTGCAGCCAATGGCCAAATTTCAGTGAGTGTATGCCAGATTTTCCTCACATAAAAATAGCTGTAATTAAACCTATATTTTATACATTTCCAACTTCTGGTACAAAATAATTATACATTGGCCTGGTTGGCAATTGACAATTGGCAGCTTGAATGGCTATGTTTGTGATAATCTGTGAGGGAGTTTTAAAGCATGTATTCAGCTGGGCTTGATAGGCAAATGCAACATGCTTTTTACAACTATTTGACGCATTATGAGATTAGTTAGAATTCATTATAGGTGCATTTATTTTTCCTCACATAAAATAGCTGTAATTAAACCTATATTTTATACATTTCCATCTGGTAAAAATAATTATACATTGGCCTGGTTTGGCAATTGACAATCTGGCAGCTTGAATGGCTAATGTTTGTGATAATCTGTGAGGGAGTTTTAAAGCATGTATCAGCTGGCTTTGATAGGCAAATGCAACATGCTTTTTACAAATTTGACGCATTTATGAGATTAGTTAGAATTCATTATAGGTGCATTTAACTCTTTCCCATCAGCTATACGCATATATGTGGCCTCTCGGCAAGTGGGCTTTAATGGCAAGAGGCCACATATATGCGTACCTAAAGAAAAACAGAACTGTGGTGAGAGTAGGCTGTCTGCGCTCCCAGCACAGTTACCAGTGGCTAACAGAAATCTCCGGATCTCTACTTACAATGGAGATCTTCCTGATCACGTGACTGCTAATCATGCTGGTCACATGTACAGAAACCCCGCCCGCCTCCCAGCATCTGAAACTCCTTAAAGGACAGGGGGTGCTGGCGCCAAGGGGTTAAACTGCAGTTGATCTGCGATTTTATATTCTCTTAGAATTGTAGGGGGAGAGAAATCAGCACAAAATGGTGTTGACACTGGCTCTAAGGAATTCTCTACAAAGAAAAGCATGTAAACTGCCATTATTTACCTCTCCATTTAAAAAAAAAAAACTGTAGTTTGCCTGCCTGTCATGCTGATACAGTGCCTTGTATCCAGTGCCTTGTGTATGGAGAAAAACATTGTGAACTTAGAAAGTGCTAAAGCCAGAGAAAGCCACAAGAAGGTCTACAATGACACCTTATGTATTTCATTAGTAAAAAGTTTCTCCTACAGTATGTGGATAGGGCAGTTTTAATAGGAATGTAGAGAGGTTTTATATTTACTTGCTTTGTTTGGTTGTATTTGTTTTAGCTTAGTCTGGGATTTCAATTAGACAAATGGAGCCCAAAAGCAAGCTGTGTATGCTGTACTGACCCTTTAACTAAACCATGAGGCAGAAAAGGGCTCCAGAGCATTACTCAAGCAAACAAATCTTACCTCCGAACCAGGGGTGGACTGACATCGCATGGGGCCCCCGGGCAATAGGGGATCATGGGGCCCCTGTGTCCTTGCCCAAACTCAAAAAAGCCTATGAAAAACGTACCCGGGGAATCTCATGGGGCCCCATACTGACCCCGGGCCCTCGGGCAGTGCCCGAGTTTCCAAAAGGTCAGCCCGCCCCTGCTCCCAACACAAAAGGGGTTGATTTACTAAAACCAGACAATGCTAAATCTGGTGCAGCTTCGAAGAGAAACCAATCAGCTTCCATTTGTTTTTTTGTCAAAGCTTGATTGAACAAGCTGAAGTTAAAAGCTGATTGGCTACCATGTACAGTTGCACCAAATTCTGAGTGCTCCAGTTTTAATAAATCAGCCCAAAAGTCTCAGTCATGTTGTTTCTTTTAGCTAAATCAAAGTGTTCTGTCATGTATTCAAAGTATATTTGTGAAGCAAAAACTGTATATAGATTATAAGAACAACACATAGAAAATAAAAGATTAAAAAAACCTAAACTACAATTGACCCACAACAATTGTAGATTGCCTTTTAGCCTCACAACTTAATCTATGTCTAAGCCTATTTAAACTTAAACCTGCTCCCGCCCCCATTCTAAACTCTATACTAAATAGCCTTTAGAGTAAATATGCGGATACTTACCTATTACGTGGATGCTTTGGTCCAGTCACATGATCGACTCCCAGCACCAGCTTGAAGGGAGAAATAAAACTGCTGACAGATGCCCCATAGTAAGCCTAAGGGTGATGTCACCACATACGCATTGTCAGCAACCTCTCCTCTCCCCTGAAACTGGCCTCTGGGGAGATCATGTGACAGGACCAGAGCACCCAGGGAATTGCAAGCATATACATCTTTACTGTACAGGATAATTAGTACAGGAATTAGAATGGTGGTGGGAACAGTTTTAGGTTAGACTGGACTTTCACTTTAAAGCTAAACTCTGGACTTACTGTAACCCTAATGCCCAATCTTAGTTTATCCCCTCCTCCCCATCTTTCCTTTCCAACCTATGGCTAGGTTACTTGGAAGAACAATATTTAAAAAAAAATTGTAATAAACATAGCATCCTTTCAAAGTCAGGGGTGTAAATGCTATATCTTTATTTCTACATAAACTAAGATTTTGATTTTATCATAGTGTGCCTAACTTGAGTTTGTCACTTGCATCCCATGAGTTTGTAATGCCAGAGATGGGTGTATAGCTCTTCTCTTCAGTTCTACTCATATAAAATGTTGAGTATGTGCACTGCTGTCTGGGTGATGGGGATAGTTCCCATCAGCTGCAAAGTAGCAGGGTCCTCTTAGGCTTTAGAAGACCACAGTGGAGAGATGACATCATGAAGAGGCAACCTGGCAGACTGCAGTGTTGGATAACCAGTTGGTACACCTAGATGCAGAAAGACTGGAAAGGGACATTGACTTTAGACTTTGGTGAGTGGTTGGGGGGAGGGTAGGGGGTTCGTTGTACGTAGATGGGCTTTAAACATTATAATTTCGAAAATTACTAAAACCATCAGTATTAATAGCAATTAATATTATTTATGCTTCCCTTAGCCAGCCTCTTTACAGCAATTGGCCTATAACTAAATGTGCTGTATGAATAAGTGAAAATGTTTCAATGCATAGGTTAGATGCCTATTCTCATTTATTACTGCATATATCTTCACTCAAACTAGGGTCTTTATTTGCTAACTTTGTGCAGTTGTTGTTCCTCACCAATATTAACAGCTAGATATTATTATATTTGACAGAGAGGAACATGTTCTCTGGAATGATTAATATACCTAGAACTGACGTAATTTTAAAATGCACACCATATATTATTTCAAAACCACTTTGTATTGTTCTGCTGAAGTTTTAAGGAATTTACTGGATTATTACTGTCAACACATATTATTCAATTGAAGGAAATGAATTACTGTTTCACCTCCATAAATTTAGTAATCCCTGGTTTGAAACAAAAGTTGTTACAGTTTATTTTTGAGCAAAGTCAAACATTTATCCAACCTATTGCTGGAAATGTGAAAGATGTAGGAGTTTTTAATAAAGTGCAGCTGCACAATAACTTAAGACATGAAATTCAAAAAATGGGCACATTACAAACACTAACATGCATATTTAAAGACTTGCAGCTGTACTAGTATAAACATCATACACACAACCTCAACAAGTAAGATACACAGTAAATGATATGGCTGTCCTTTTATACCACATTGCCGCTAATGTTTATGACTGTAGCAACATAAAAACAAAATGCATGACTTTAGAAATTGATTTTGTTTTCATTTGATGTTACATATGGACTTGAAGACATTGTGAAATGAGAAATTATGTATTCTGTGCTTTTAAAACTAAAAAGATTGCTTGATGAGGAATATTGTAGCAGAGCGCCCATTTAGTCAGCATGTATTCCTCAGCAGCTCAGAGAGGTCACACCTAATGGGGCAGTGGTAGGCAAGTGATCTGCAGCTATGAGAGAGGTCCTCCACTATCGGAACCAGTATGAGCCTTCATTCACATGTGTCCATTTTTTAATGCATTTTTAATAGGTGGATTCGCATGGCCACAGAAATAGAATGGAGTCCTATGTGGGGTGTTTACTTTTTTTTAAAAGGATCATGTGCGAGATTTGGCAGTGTGATCCGAATTTGCATTGCAATCAAGTTCATCTGTACCCGCATACGAAGCTGAATCACATGAGATTCACACCGGCAGCATCGAAGTACAAAACTGAGCTATTTTGAACTAAAGATGTGTGAACCTAGGCTGAAGGCAGCTGGGATAGAGCCTTTATTTCACTGTTTCTTCTCAGTTCTCTTTCTGCATTCACTGTAAAGGTAGAAGTAGAGAGAAAGCTGTGGGTAATTCCACCTACTATTTTTCAAAATGGAAGAGGAACATTATGTTAATAAAAGAAACTCTGTATTTAAAAAAAAATATACCAAACTTAAATTGGTCATACACATATCAAATTCCATCTGATTTTTGCTGAATTGTGCAAAATTGATTCCATAGTTTATTCCATTGGCGCCGCCCACCTTCACAAAAGCCTGGCAAAAAAATGTATTTTAACAGCGCCTGCATGTTGTCAAATGCAGGCACTGTTCATGGCAGCCACAGGTGCTAGCTGTTAGAATACAATAGCCATCAATACAAAATTGTCCAGCCACACTGTTTAGCTTGGATGGGGAAGTTAATAGATTTCTCTTAATGTGTATGGCCAGTTTAAGGCACCATGCACACGAGCTCAAAAATGCCTGTTTTTCAGGCGTTTGATGTTTTTTTTCTGCTTCTAAACGCCCCTTCACATTAGCCTATGTGTCCATGCACACATAGGTGTTTACAGGAGTTTAGATGTATTTAAAGGAAGAAAAAAAACATCACTTGTGCATTTAGGAGAGGAGCATTTTGGCTGAAAAAAAAACTCCAAAATGCACCTATGTAAATGTGGCTACACAGGTCTAAATACACCTAAATGCTAGGAGTGTTTAGCACTTGAGTGTTCATTCATTTCAATGGCCAAAATAAATGAATATTCTGGCTAATGAGATGAATACACACCCAGGAGCTTGAGGAGCCTCAATGCGCCTAAACAAGTTTGCAAAAACATGGCTTAAGAACATATTTGAAGCACTTTTCTCCTGCCAGAAGTTAAGCATTGAGAAGGGCCCCAGTGTGCATGTGGCCGAAGTCATAATTTTCATAACTCTCATCATCAACTTAGGTGTTGCTTGCCTGTTACATTATTTTTATCCATTTTATATCATTCCCATTTCTTTAATTGATGACCTACTTTCCCATCAATGTAGAGTAAATGTATACTAATATTTCTTTAAGCTAGCTTCATATTGAATGACCAAACAGCTCCACTCTTTCACTTCTTGGATCCAGACAACTATGTCCCAAATGAGTTTTCTGTACATGGTTTATTAAATTGACCTGTTAACTGGAATTTCGGCATGCCAAAAGTGGATAAAGGAACTGAGTAATTTGAACTGTTGCCTTATGTCCTAGACAACCCATTAAATGATTCTCTACTTATTGCAGCCCTTATCCTTTTTTCTAATGCAGATACGTGAATTAATTTCAGAAAACTATGCTGTTCAAATTGCTAAGTAAGGCTATTTTTCTCTTTCTTCCCTTTTTTTTCTTGACTAAAAAGGTACCTGAGGAATATAAGTAGTTTCTTTCTGGCCTTTCCTTAGCAAAGGCATCCGGAGAATTGGTTATGTACATGCTGATTGTGCCAGTAAGGCACTTCCAAGAGGAAAATTCTGTACTGCCAGCTGTTAAGCTCCAAAATCTATTAATTTTAAGTATGGGTGGGACGTGCAGTTGTTGAGCAAGGATCACAATGTTTAAAAATGTGTCTCCAATATATGAAACTGATATTATCAGAGGAGAGATCAAGGCCCTGCCTGGCACTCACAGTGATTTCTAAGTGTTGGCAGACGGGATAGTAAATGCATTATTTATTACAAACAATAAAGTTGCAGTAAACTAGTTCCCTGTCCAAAAATATGGATATTTCCAGAGCCCCTTTGCAATAAAACTGTAAAATGTGTCTGCCAAAATGTGAATTGAAAATTCCATTTTTCTTTGTGCCTAGTAGTGATGAGAACTTGTTCTCATAAATCTTGAATAGATTAAAGTGAAAATTAAATGCTTTCTTGAGGAAGCTGGCTTGGATATTAACTTTCAGCTTTAACACCCAGTCTTCCATCTAACAACCTCATGTTATGGGGAAAATACAGCTCTGCGTCCTATTGCTTTTTCATGAGAGATTACTTGTGACAATATAGACTACACACGCTAGGTTGTTGGAAATTTGATTCTGCGGTGTATCATAGAACAATTTTTTTTTATGCCCATGGTGTTTACTAAAAGAGAAGTATGGGAATTAAAAAAAATAAAATTACATACTTAGGTGGATGCAGCATTGGTATAGCATCTGTCCCCCACCACCTCTAAGACTGACAACCTAGTGATCAAAGTGATCTCTCAGTTCTTGGATCCACTCAGAACACAGGGTGGTGACTGCCAGTCACCAGTCCTGTACTGTCCTTCTAGCACTCACTAGAGTGCTGGGCTATGGAGGGGGCAGGAGCTGCTGGTTCAGGCTCTCAGCAGTGTGCTGAGAGATTGAGCCAGCTGCCCCTCAGGCATC